TATCCACTGGTATTTACTGACGGTTTACCGACAATGTCCGGCGATAGTCCGACGACACGCAGGCGGTCACACCGCCGGCAATACATTTGGTTCTAACTGCCAGTAAGCAACCGGTACTATTACCTGCGGTGTACTGATGGTCTACATGATAATAACGATGGTGTTTTTACAGGCGGTTTCATGGCCGGTACGTCGCCGGTAACAACACCGGCGGTCACTAACGCTTAGACCGCCAGAAGATAACCGGCAGTATAAACTGCCGGAAAACCGCTGGTGAAGGAAACTGCCGGTAATGGTTTATGGCATCATTTTTTGGCGGTTTTTGAACCGCCTAAAATCCACCGGTGTTTAACAAAACTGCCAGAAAATAAGTGTTAACCGCCAGCAAAAATTGCCGATAATAAGTGATTTTCCTGTAATGTCACCACATTTTCCATATATATCTAGAAAATGGGGTGTCAACTAGGGTCGACGGGTCGGGTTTGGGTCAAACCCAAGTTGGCTCTGTTCTAAGTGGGTTAACTCGAATCCGACCTATAAACAGATTAGCTATCTCAACTCGGACCTGACCCGCGCGAGTTGTGGGTTGACATGACCCCACCCGGCAGCAGCAGCAGGCATGACGATAGTAGGCAAGTAGTGGTAGGGCACAGGCAGATTAGGCGGCACCAGCCAACGAGTAGTCGGCATGTGTCGCGATTGAAGTCGAAGCCGAAACTGGCGCGGGGAGCTAGCACGCAAGCGACAAAGCGGGCAATGTGATTCTGGCAAGTGGCAATGCAGGCAGCCGGGCAAAGACGCGGGCAGCCAGGTAGCGGGGCAGGGACGCGGGAAGCTGAAGTGAGCGCGGGGGGCTGCATGCGAAGCGGGCAATGAGCTGGCAGCCTGGCACAGGTCGCGACGGGCAACACGATTCTATCAAGTGGAAACGCGGGCAGCCGGGCGTGGGCAGCCGGGCAGGGGTCATTTTTGGGTCATTTCGGGGTCCCGGGTCAACCCGAACCCGACCCGGTTTTTGAAATGGGTCAGTTTATTGAACCCGAACCTGACCCGTTTCACAAACGAGTTGACCCTAACCCGGATTTTTCTGGGTCGAATCCGGGATCAGGTTTCATGTCGGGTCAAAAATTGACACCCCTATCTAGAAGGGAATTTGTAACATAAATATACCCACTCATAGCTAATTTAATGATAAAAAATGTAATATCGATCCTCTTATTGAGGTGATCCTCACTTGCAATTTCAGTATCAATGATGGAGAGCATGTTTGTTGTCTTATTTGGAGCACTGGAATGATCGAATAGTTTTTTCTGGGCATCCAGCTTCCTCTTGTCATCATTATACACAAGCTTGTTAACACCAAGAAATCCAAAGAATATGTCATCACTGTCCATGTGCTTATCATGACTAAGAACTCCACATAAGATGTCTTCATTGTACATAGGCTCATCATAGATAGACAAAGATAAAGATTTCGACAATGAATCTTTAAACCCATCAAAGATGAACTCAATCGAGGGTGTAGAAGAAGACTTACAGGGTGGTCCTTAAAAAATAGGTCTTCATAGGAAGAAGAGATCCGATCAAAATCACATAGATCAATCTTGATTCCTCCATCATCCCGTAATCCTTGCTTAGCATTGCTTTAATTTTTGAGGTTGAATGTGGGTCCGATATGATTTCTGGTTACTAAATTTTGGCCAAGAACACGGAATGTTGTTGTTCTTAGTGGTAGGAATGGCGTAGACATCATCAATAAATTGTTTGGGGGCTCTGGAGGAAGAATATTGCTTGGGGAAATCATTCAGGATGAAGTCATGGACTAGTAAGTTCGAAAGCCCAGGGGCACGGGCGGCCAATAATGAATGCAAGGGCGGACGCGGGTAGCTGGGTCGCATGCAACACTATATAAAAATTGTCTATTACCGGAGAATTTTCTGGCGGCTATCCGGCGGAATAATTTTCGATGGATTTCCGACGGATTACAATGAAATATTTCCGACATATTTTTTGCAAATTTTCCGGCGTATTTCCGACATATTTATTACTGGCGGACATTCCGACAAATTTTAATAATTTCTGAAAAAAAAAATATTTTTCAAAATTTAAATAATTAATAATTTTATAGCTCATTTTAATTAATTACTAATTTTATAATTTATTTTTATTAATTATTAACTTAATATCTTATTTAATTAATTTTTAATTAAATAACTTATCTTAATTATAATAATTTAATATTTTATTTTAATTTAATCTTAATTAAATAATTAAAAAGTTATTAAATTACTAATTAATTAAATATTTATTTAATTATTTATTTTCCGCCCTCCCCCCCCATCCCCCAACAACACTATCACCGTCGAGGATCACCATTAGTAATCGCTGCCATCTCTAGAATTCTGATAGAATTTAACCTTGCTGTTAAGTATAGCTATCCACCTGTGGACACCTACTTTTTATAATCCTTATTGGGGAAATCAAGCCATGTTGTTGGTAGTTAATTGTCCATCCATGAATATTTGATTTATGTTAACCCTCATAAGAAAAATTAGACAACTTATTCTTAAATAGTCCTCTTCTTCTTCAACTGTGAGGAATGAAAGATTTTTGTATCTTCTGATATATAATGAATTTTCATCCGGGCCATACACAATGATTTTTTCCTTTCCGATTTTTTTAATATAAAAAAGTTCTTGTCTTACAACTTTTGTTTTTGCATGTTGAATTTTCGCACAACATTTAGATGTAAAATAAACACTCTATCAACTCAGGTTTTCTAATATATATCTAACAATATTTATAATTTTTTCTTCTATGTCGTTTTGCATTATTGTTAGGTCTGAACTGGAACGTTTGTCGTTGGACCTTGACTTAGATCATGCATTGAAATCATGCAGATTAAAAACTTTTCGTAGTACAAAATTATAACTACATTATTCTCATAATTTGATACTTGATACCCTACATATGTAACCAATTGGAAATAAATTTGACTCATTCTCTTAAGTCAGACTATATATATATATTCTGAAAAATTAGATCTACAAAGTAAAAGATTAGTATTTTTTATTGTATAATATAAAAATGCTAATTATAATATACTGATTTGCTGAATGTAAATAATATAGTTTTTTAAAGAACAGTTTCTCACTCATCAAATCCTGGCCACGATCCTCCCCACAACCATTATTGCCGGCAGCTTCCTTCTTTCTGTAGCTCAGATTTTCAACTCCATTCACCTATATATCAACGAACTACAAGCACTTCATAATTTAAAAACTCATCGTCCACATTTGTCCTATAAAATAATACACCTGATGAACAATATTAACAGTGAACTAATTAAAGCAGATGTTTCCATGTTTCTGAAAGGCTGAGACCTCATAAATAAAAATAAAAAAATCAAATCCGAGGACCCAAGCTACAGAAGTCATTTGTCGCCCTTGACCTGCACCATTGCTGCTCCTGAGATGACTATTTTTTAATTTTATTTTTTGGTTTATTACAAGCTTGAAACACATATGTTTTTGGCTAAATTTTAGGAAGGAGCATGAAAGGTGCGAAATTTTAGGAGGAGCGAATTGGCTGAAAGCTATGGCGTGTTGGTTGAAAATGCCAGAAGATTCGGCGCATTGAAGATATACCGAAATGTTCGGCGTATTCTTCGATCAGCTTCTAAAAACGTTCTCATGAATGCGTCAAAGATATTGACACATTTCCTGAATGCGCCAAACCTATTGGCGCATTGCCTGAATGCGCTATATTATATGGCGTTTTCTGACTGCGCCAAACCCTTCAGCGATTCTGTTCCGTCTTAAATTTCGCTATGTTCGTGCTCCTCCCGCTAAATTCCTCAACTAACCTACTCCTAAAATTTGGCCTATATTTTTTTATGCGTGTTGTTGTATGTTAATATGTGTATTCTCTTATGAGGATTGAGCAGAACTGTCCTAATTAAAACTAAGATTTCATTTGTGACGATTTTCTTATTATTATCTAAAATAAAATTGTTTTATATTTAAAAAGGTTTTAAAAATAGTAAAAAAATTGTCTAAAATAAAGTCTAAATAGCTCGTTAGAGAAAAATTTTGAGTAGGCATTTTAACTCATCTCTAATTCTTCAAATGCCAAATAGTCAGCATTGTTCGAGCTAGGAGATTTCTATGTGGCAATGGTAATTTATTTGAAATATAATTTTTAAGAAAATAAACTAAAGATATATTAGATCCATTATGACTATTATAAGGTGTACATATATACCTACTGTGATTTCTAATTAATGTTGTTGACTGTTAGGCTTTATTTCGACAGTTCTCTTATTTTTTATAAAAAAATTATAGAAAAATAATAAATGTTATAAATTATTTAAGAAAATGACTTTTAATAAAAAATATTTTTTAAATCAGAAAACAATAATGATGGAATAAAAACTGTAATTGACATCTAAAAAATAAATAAATCAGGAAAAAATGTCCAAGGATGTTTTAATATTATATATATAAATGATCAATTTTTTAATTCTATTTAATTATATAATATTAAGATCATCTCCAACTGAGCTGTATACTATCATATGACGTGCGTCATTCGCTATTTTCAAACTCCAAATCTCATTGCGAAATTTTGGTAGGTGAACAGTGCGACGCAAACATTGACGTCGGATTGTTCACCTATACCAAAAAAATTGAGTTGCGAAATTTGCTGAAGAAGAGCACGAAAGAGAATAAAAGCATGGGAAAGAGTATAGATTGTTCACCTATAACAACATAATTGAGTTGCGAAATTTGCTGAAGAGGAGCACGAAAGAGAATAAAAGCATGGGAAAGAGCATAGAGATGATTATCTTAGCAGGAAGTGCCTAAAAGAAGAAAGAAATATAATTTTATTAGAGATGAATTAAAATGTTACGACATTTGAGAGTGAAAAATAAAATTTTCGGTTGGAGATGCCTTAAGACGAATTACCGGTTGGTAATTACAAATTATTGCGAGACATCCGCGGCACGGGAGACACTTCACTAGGCCTTCACACCCGGCGTAACCGGTTTCATTTCTCGTTTTGCCCTCTTCGATCTCCCGCTCAATCTCCTTCAGCTTCGGAAGATCTCTGCATCTCTCTCTCTTTCCTGTGTGTTCGGCCATCACTCTGCAATATCTAGCTCTTCTCACATTCCTAAACCCGATCACCGTTTCTACTCACAGTGTAATCGTACCCGCTGGTTCTCTAGGGCACGATGCCGTCCCTGATTACTCCAGGGAAAATTCTCCGGCTGGAGCTCGATAACTTCAAATCGTACAAGGGTCGGCAGGTGATCGGTCCCTTCTACGACTTCACGGCCATAATTGGTCCGAATGGGTCAGGGAAGTCCAACCTCATGGACGCAATCAGCTTTGTCCTCGGCGTGCGCTCCACGCATCTCCGCGGTGCGCAGCTCAGAGATTTGATCTATGCTTCTGACGACCGCGAGAAGGAGCAGAGGGGAAGGAGGGCTTTTGTCCAGCTTGTGTATCAGATGGGCAACGGCTCGGAGCTTCTGTTCACGAGAATTATCACTGGTGCGGGCGGCAGCGAGTACAGGATTGATCAGAAGGTTGTGACGTGGGATGAATACAACTCAAGGTTGAAGTCTCTGGGTATTCTTGTTAAGGCCAGGAATTTTCTTGTATTCCAGGTATGCATTACTATACAGTTAAACCATAGTATTGTTACTTTTGTTACATTGCGTGTAAGGGTTTAACAAGATAAAGTTAGCCGTTAAAATTATTGTTTGTTTATCGGCCAATAAATCCATCCTTCAAACCGACGACAGGGGTCTGTTACACTGGCTAAGTCAGTTAATCGACAAATATTGATAATTGGTTTCTTCCTGTTCATAGAAGTTGTCAGAGTTTTAAAGGAATTTTTGCTGTTTCTTTTCTTTTTTACCTTCCTCCTTTTAAAGAATTTATGATACCTTTCGTATTAAAGTTGACGAACAAATTGTATATTTGAAGTACGAGCGAAGCCTTTGCCAAGAATAATTATACATATTGTAGGTAAGATGAGAAATTAAAATCAAAACATGTGTTTTTAAAATCACTTACAGGGAAAATTCTGGATAAAATCAAAATTTTCCTGCAGATTGAACCCCGGCATTGATTGGCGAGTAAGGATTGGAAAATTTTCTTTGTGGATTGGATGTCTAGACTAAGTTGAAGAGTTAATTCTGTATTCATTCAACCGTGTGTATATTTTCCATTGCTTCTGCAAGGTTTATTTCTTCTGTAGATCATCACAATATATTATCTTATTCTTAATGATGCTATGCCAGCCTCTAGTAATAGCTTTTAACATAACAGATTTCCCACATTGGCTAGTAATGAAAAAAAAAAAAAATCATCTGCCTAGAAGATCTTTCAAATTGATTTGGTGCTTATTTTGAGGCACTTTCACTCATGTAAGTGGAAATGTTAGCAAGGAATGTTTAGCAGACTTTTTGACTGGCCAACATTTGAATTTTGTTTAAATCGTCATTCCTTTTCCAGGTGGAGGATATTGAGAACACTTATGGCTTATTTCTTTCAATGTAAATGTTGGATGTAACTGGAGTAGAATTTGAGAAACGTTTTTTATTGACTTTGAAATTTGTAGAGCTGCCTGCTTGCTTTTAATGGATTAATTTCTTGCAAGCATAGTTTGGATGTAGAGAGTTTCATTTTTATCCCTCCCATGAGATTTTTCTTAGTGTGAGTGCAATTAAATTTATAACCCATTCTTCCATGTCTTTATATTTTAAATATCATTATATGAAAGTAAAAAAATTTAGATGACTTCCAAGCTCTTATAATTGGAACTCTCTTCTCACCATTATCAAGTTGAATTTATGAGTTTACTTCCTGTTCTGTGATTGTGTTCCAGCCCTCCAAACAGTTGTCAAAACAAATTGGCCTTAATCAAGTGAGAGTACATATTTCTTTTTTTTTTTTAAAAGGAAAGGTCATACTTTTATAGGATGTAATTATTCTGCTAATAATCATGTGATAAATTGAAATAGGATTCAAATGCATTAAATTATAATTACTCTCTTTAACCGATCTCAATGTTAGCAATTGAGTGATAATAGGATTTTTATCAGCTACAAGAGTTTTCATGCCAATGAAATTCTATATGAACCTGGATAACTGATTGGCAGTTTTAATTTTCTTTTCAATCTTTATAGTTTTTTGGCAAGATTGTGTAGCTAGAGTTCACCTTAATACAGCAAGAGGGCATAACTTTCTATGAAACTTTTACTACTATTAGTTTAATTGCAGGTGCATCATGCAAGTTGTTATTATATTGAAAATTAATGAGAACATATTTAACATGCAAAGTTAAGTAAAAAAATTATGAAAAAAAAGTTAATATCTTTAATTCATACATGTTTGATGTGTTTGGAGTATCAAAAGGAAAAACTCGTAATAGTAAAAATAGTTGCTGGTGGAATCAAAATGTGCAAGAAAAGATAAAAAATAAGAAGATTTGTTATAAAAATTGGTTTAGATATAAAAATTCTGATAATTGGGAAAGATATAAAGATGTCCGTAAGGAGTTTAAGAAAATAATATGCGATGCATATATTTTAGCTTTTAATAATTATATAATAGATAATAGATTAGATACTAAGGAGGACGAAAGATATATGTATAAGTTAGCCAAACAAAGAGAAAGGAGTAGTAAGGATTTAGTTCAAGTGAAGTACATTAGGGATGAAGATCAAAAAGTGTTTTTTATTAGAAGAGGATATTCAATAAATGTGGATGAGATATTTTGCTAAATTTTTCAATGAATATTGTGAGAATACGATTGACTTTAGTGATCTTATCACTCTAAGTGAAAACGAAGATTTTTTTTAATCGTTGTATTAGTAAAACCGAAGTTAGAGAGGCTTTAAAGAAAATGAAATGTGAAAAAATTGTTGGACATGATGATATTCCAATAGAGGTGTGGAAATGCTTAGAAGATGAAGGAATTTCTTGGCTTACTAAACTTTTTAGTATTATTTCGAAACTAAAAAATGTCAAATGAGTGTGTTGATTCCTATTTTTTTTAAAATAAAGGTGATGCACAAGTTTGTGCGAATTATAGAAGTATTAAGTTAATGTGTCATACTTTATAATTATGGGAGAGAGTTAGGGAGCATAAGTTCCGACATGATACTAATGTTTCTCAAAATCAATTTGGATTCATGCTGGGTAGGTCTATTATGGAAGCTATACATTTATTGAGAGGTTTGATGGAGAAGTGTAGAGAGAATAAGGAGGATCTACATATGATATTTATTGATTTATAAAAAACATATGCTGAAGTTCCAAGAGAAGTGCTATGGAGAGTTCTAGAAAAGAAAGGGGTTAATAATGCTTTTATTCAAGTCATTAAGTATATGTATGCAAGAGCTGTTACATGTGTTTAAATACAATGTGGTTTGGCTAAGTATTCTCATATTTCAGTTGGATTACATCAATGATCAACCTTAAACCCATATCTTTTTGCTTTAGCCATGGATGTTCTCACTAGACATTTGCAAGAGGTTGTACCCTAGTGTATGCATTTTGCTAATGACATTCTCTTTGTTGATAAGACTAAAGAGAGAGTTGAAGGTAAACTTGAATTATGGAGGTGAACCTTAGAGTCTAAAGTTTAAGTAGATCTAAAAATGAATATATGGAATATAATTTTAGTAATAATAGATTAGTGGGGGGATTGTGACTTTGGGCGATCAAGTCATTAATAAGAGTACACATTTTAGATATCTTAGGTCTATTGTTCATCGTGATAGTGAAATAAATGGGAATATTATTTGTAGAATTTAGGTTGGATGGTTGAAGTGTAGGAATGTATCGAGCTTGTTTTGTGATAGAAAAGCCCCCTTCAAACTTAAGGAAAAATTCTATAAGATGGTTGTGAGACCTGCAATGCTTTATGGCGAGGAATGTTGGCCATTAAAAGAGAAGCATAATATTAAGTTAAGTGTTGTAGAGATGAGGAAGCTCAGGTGGATGAATGGCTTTACTCTTAGAGACATGATAGGAAATGAGCATATATGCGAGAAGGTTGGAGTAGCTCCAGTGGAAGATAAGATTAGAGAGAGTCACCTTAGATGGTTTGGTCGCATAAAATGGCGGCCTTTCGATGATCCAATTAGGAAAGTAGATGTTTTAGATTTGACTTATGTTAAGAAATGTAGAGGTAGACCTAAAAAGACTTGGTAAAAACATATTAGAAATGACATTTCTTTGTTAGATTTAAATGAGAATTTGACTCCTAACATGACACAACGGAGAAAAAAGATTCATGTAGCCGACCTCACGTAGTGGGATAAAGGATTGATGTTGTTGTTGTATCTTTAATTCTTACATGTTTCACCAACATTCATTTGAATTTAAAAAGATTTGTTTTTGTCTATAATCATAATAAAAATAAATATATCCGAGGGAAAGATCAAACATCTAAAATTAGGCAACTTCAAAATTGAATAACTTTTTCAAGTTAAAGAGCATTTATTTTTGGTTGTAAAATAATAAAAAGCAAATAAAAGTAATATATGATAAAAATTAGTAAAAATAGGACTAAAAAATAAATAATTAATTTAAAATTATATTTTGAGGAGTTTTTATGCTCAAATATATTGGCTTTCATTTGAAAAATAATATAATGGGTATATATAAGCTCCATGTAAACTTCTAGATATAATGCAACTTTAAACTATGATTTATAACAAAATTATCTAAGGATCACTATTTAAAATTGGGATTAATTATTTGTTATCTCATAACTCTTTTGTATATTTCATATATGCAAAATCTATTTAAAATACATTCATAAAAGTAATTCTATACTTCGAATTTATTTTTTAGAATTCTATGTAACGGAATTCATTTATGGTTGAGAAATTTTTTAAAAATTGAAAGATTAGGATCAAATTAGTTGAATCACTTGCCATTTTTTAAATAATGGCATGTGTTTGTGTCTATATATATGTAAGGATTAGTTTTGTTTTTCATATTTCATGGACTTTTGAAAATAAAGGACAATTTCATATTGCTCTTTGAATATATATTATTTACTTTTTTGTTATATTGGATATACATTATGTTGGTGTTTATTTCTCATGACATGGAATTATACATCCTTACAATTTATGATATATTTCTCATTTTTTATCTAACATTGTTCTCTAGGGTGATGTAGAATCCATTGCATCAAAGAACCCAAAAGAACTTACTGCCCTTCTTGAGCAAATTTCTGGGTCTGATGAGCTAAAAAAAGACTATGAGGATTTGGAAGAGTTAAAGGCAACGGCTGAAGAAAAATCAGCTCTTGTATACCAAGAAAAGAGAACAGTAGTCATGGAAAGAAAGCAAAAGAAAGCACAAAAAGAAGAGGCTGAGAAGCATTTGCGCTTGCAAGATCAATTGGTATGATAATCTACTTTGCAATATTTTTAGCATTTTTTATTTTTGCTCCTATGCATTTTAACTACAATTTTCATTTGATTGTATTTTTTAACTATCACAAGGAGTTAATCATCTAAGAAGATCTTTCATAGCAACCATTTTATAAATTTTTATTTTATCTTAAATTTCAAAACAAATAGCTTTCTTATAGAATGTGAACTCATTTATTATCAATATATTTTTAAACTTATGACAATAGCTTATTATTTTAAAATTTAGCTTATTCTTAAATATTGTTTGAGCTTTTATATTTTTTATGAAATAGAAATCTTAGGAATACTTAGAAAATGGCAGTTATTTCCAGAGAGGCAAAGATTACAAATGAAACTTGCGGAAGAAAACATCATGGTTGATGCTTGACATGATTAGGCTGCACTTTGTTGCTGCTAGTTTTCATATTGAAAGCTTTTTTTAAGCATTATAAAACGGGAAGTGTTCCCAATGCATGAGTTTCCTGTCAACGCAGGGCTTGGGGAGATGTTGTAGTGACCCATGTCCTACATCATAGAGTGGCTATCAACATTCATATTGTTCAGCCAAGCCTTTATGTATATAATAGAAAGCTTTCAAGCTTTTTGTGGTTTATGGTGGTTGTAAAAAATTGTCTATTCTATATTTGATATCTCTATGATACAAGATAACCTATAAAATTAAGTTTGAGTGGGTTAAATGAAGACTTGTCATTAGTGTTTTATAAAATAACAGAATATTGTGGAGTTTTGAATATAATTTTCATAAATGTATAATTAGATTAGTTATGGTATAAGAATTTGGATTCAAGCCAGGTAGGTCTACTATGGAGGCTATACATTTATTGAGAGGTTTAATGGAGAAGTATAGAGAGAATAAGGAGGACCTACATATGATTTTTCTTGATTTAGAGAAAGCATATGATAAATTTCCAAGAGAAGTGCTATGGAGAGTTCTACATAAGAAAGGGGTTAATAATGTTTATATTCAAGTCATTAATGATGTGTATGCAGAAGCTATTACTTGTGCTCAAACACAAGTTGGTTTAACCAATTATTTTCCTATTTCAGTTGGATTACATCAAGTATCAACCTTAAGCCCATATCTTTTTGCTTTAGTCATGGATGTTCTCACTAGATATTTGCAAGAGGTTGTACCCTGGTGTATGCTTTTTGCTGATGATATTCTTCTTGTTGATAAGATTAGAGATGGAGTTGATAGATAAACTTGAATTATGGAGGTCAACCTTAGAGTCTTAAGGCTTTCATTTGAGCAGATCTAAAACTGAATATATGGAGTGCAATTTTAGTAATAATAGATCCAGTGTAGGGATTTTGACTTTGGACGATCAAGTCATTAATAAGATTGCATGTTTTAGATATCTTTGGTCTATTGTTCATAGTGATGGTGAAATAGATGAGGATATTTTTAGTAAATTTCAAATTGGATGGTTGAATTGAAAGAATGCATCGTACTTGTAGTGAGACTTGCAATGCATTATGGTGCAAAATGTTGGCCATTAAAAGAGAAGCAAAATATTCGGTTAAGTGTTGCAGAGATGAGGATGCTTAGGTGGATGAGTGGCTTTATTCCTAGATATAGGATATGAAATGAGCATATATGTGAAAAGGTTGGAGTAACTCTAGTGGAAGATAAGATTAGAGAGAGTCGTCTTAGATGGTTCGGTCACGTGAAACGGCAGCCTTCCAATAACCAGGTTAAGAAAGTAGATGATTAGATTTGACTTATGTTAAGAAAAGTAGAGGTAGACCTAAAAAGACTTGTTAGAAAATATTAGAAATGCGTGAAAAGGTTGGAGTAGCTCCAGTGGAAGATAAGATTAGAGAGAGTCGTCTTAGATGGTTTGGTCACATAAAACGGCGGCTTTCCGATGACCCGATTAGGAAAGTAGATGTATTAGATTTGACTTATGTTAAGAAGGTAGAGGTAGACATTAAAAGACTTGGTTAGAAAATATTAGAAATGATCTTTTTTTATTAGATTTAGATGAGAATTTAACTCTTAACAGGACACAATGGAGAAAAATGATTCATGTAGCTGACCCCATATAGTAGGATAAAGGCTTGTTGTTGTTGTATGGTATGGGAATTTGAGTGTTATATACTAAAGAAGTCATATAATTAAATTGAGTACGGAGAACTGAAAATGTTGGGACGAACGTGAATTTCAACTACATAGATTGTCAAATGCTTATATATATATGAAATAAACTTTTGAAGGTCCCTACAATGTGATTCTTTAAACAGCTGGCTTGTGGAACCTCTATTTCACTGTGCTAATCGTACTATGAATTGGCATGTATGAAAACTTTAAAGACATTCTCTAGCTTATGTCAAGTTGATTTAATATTTTTTCTTATCTTGCTTCGTTCTCTTAATTTTTTTCTTATATGTTGTCAAATTCTTGATAGAAATTGCTTACATTATGTGCTTACACTAGTGCCTTATTCTTTTATGTTTGCAGAAGTCATTAAAGCAAGAGCACTTCTTATGGCAACTTTTTAACATTGAGAAGGACACGGAGAAGTTGAATTTAGAACTTGGAAATGCTAAGGAAGAGCTAGCTGGTCTGACCAGAAAGCAGGAGGAATATGATCAACAGTTAGATGCAAAAAAGAAAGAGCAGAATGCACATTTGAAGGAGATATCATTAAGTGAAAAAAACATATCAAAGAAAAAAACTGAACTAGATAAGAAGGTGAAGCATCCTTTGTTCAATGCTTGAATTTCTTAGAAATATATGTGCTTCTTCCTAGTCATCAGTTTCTTTCTCTTTTGGCTAATATGCAGTTAGCAGTCTTATTTTTAAAGCTCCTTAATTAAATCCCTACTTTTTTGTTAAAACTTGTTTGTAGGTCATTGATATCCATATACAATCAGATTATAATGGAAGGTTGGGATTTCCTTCCAGATTTTATTTATTTATTTTTTTATCGTTTGTTCCACCCCAACACCAAAACCACCCCATCCATTCGACATATTCATAATCATCATTCCTTCTATTCAACCTTCTTTGAACCCCTATGACTGGGCATTTAATGGCCTCTTTAAGGGCATCTTCTTCATTGCCTATCAACTTTGTATCTGTTAACCTATTGATGGTGTTCATGAGGAAGGAGTTGAAGGTGATAGTCCTCCTATAGAATTTCTACTATATTTCCCCATTATAAGTATTATTATAAATACATTTTTTTTTGAAAACCTGAATACTTTTTTTGGTTGTTATGAGAATTTCCAATTTAAGGAAATTTATTCCCTGAGCATGAGACTGCTATAAAGGCAATGGGTGGGTATCAGTGTGGTGTTGGCTTAGAAAAGTAGGGAGGCTGTTTCTCCAAGTCTTAACAACATAATATTTGTGCAGAAAGACCAACCATTTTATGTCTTGATAGCAAACATTAGATAAACAAAAAATTATTGCGTATAGGGTTGTTGAGAGATGATGGATTTGATTCCAAGCAGGGAGGAATATGGAAACTTCGAAATAATTCATTTTTGTGCGCCTATTTTTTAGTCATGCTACTATGTTATATTTATTTTTGATGGCACATTTTGTTCTGCTTTCATGTTGCTTCTCTTTTCATTTGATTTTTTGATGTTCTTTTATGGGAGACCTATATTTTCATAAAGTGATTTATGCTATGCACTTAACAAAAAGTTTGGGTAGGATACGAAGGGTTTTGCAAAAAGAGGGATCTGGTTGCTAAGAGGGAAAATGAAGATACTTGGATTTTTTTTTTTGTGGGCCTTTGATGGATTCCATCGCACTTCTTTTTAATGTTGCCAATATTCTACATTTTTGCTCTCCCTCTTTTTAGGTGATTTCCTTATGTCCCTCTATGGGAAGATCTTGACAATTATATGATAGTGATTGCTACGTGTTTTTGTTGAATAACTGATGTATTAGTTTGTTTGAAACTCAATTAAAATTTGTTCTTTTGAAATGGCAAGTCTAAGAACCTAGAAGGAACAAATTTATGCTGTCCTTTCTAAAGTACTGGAAGGATAGAAAAATATATCAAGTTGAAAATCCTATGTTACCTTATTCTATCACTAATATAGTCTTGATCGTTATGAGTATTTGCTAATTCTTTGAATGTAGAAAACTATTATTTTTAGACACATTGAGACACAGATATATAATATTGAAAGCACTTGTCATGGTTCACAGTTGGGCAAAATTCACAGCGAATTGACTTATCTTTTTGTCACGTAATGCTCATTATTTTTAACCTAAATGAGTGGGAAGTAACTTTTACTACCAACTTTTCAAGCTTTTAATGGCTTATTTGTGATAAAAAGTGGTTGCTATGAAGAATTGATTCAAAAATTGATCATCAAGATACAATCCGAAACAAGTTTATAGCAAGGTTTGAAGCTTTGGAGAAAATTTTGGTCCATTCATGGAAGTTTTGGTGGTTTCAATAGTTTTATTGTTGGATTTTAGTTTTGATTTTATTGAATTATTTTGTTGTTAATTAATATTTAATTTAAGTTTTGCGTTCTTTTGTCAATTTTAAAATTAAAAGTATTTGTAGAATGTGAGAGAGAGAGAGAGAGAGAGAGAGAGAGAGAGAGAGAGACTGATGTAGGCAAGGGGGGTCAATTCGAATCCAAAAATTTGGATTTTTGACTTCCCTTAAGCTTGCTAGCTCATTAATTTTTGAGCTGAAATTTAGCTCGTTATGAGCTGGTTTTTAGTTCATTTATTGAACTAAGAGTTAACTCATTATGAGCTATGTTTTTGGTTCATTTATTAATTTATTGGTAGCTCATTAATCTTGTCTCTTCTCCTCCCCTTTTCTTCTTAAAATTCTGAGTTGTCCCATGGGTTCATGTGCCTTGGCTCCTTGGTTCCCACGGTTGGCTGTGCTGGGTGGTTTTCCTGTGCCTTGGTGCCTCAGTTTCGTGCGGACCTCCTTGGTTTTTGCGGCTGCCTCTTCGGGCTCCGCCTGGGCTATTTTTCCCGTGGCTGTTGGGGACTTTTTCGTGGCTTTGGTGCTTTGTTTCCTGTGAAGAATTGGGAATATTATGAAGTGGCTGTTGGCTTTTCATTTCCCTCATTCAATTTTAGAATATGAAAGGTTTTTTTTGGGGGTTGTTTGGTTTCTCCTCTCTTACCTATAAATATGAGATATTTAGAGAGGAGAAGAAGAGAATTTTTGATAAAAATCTGAAAGGTTTTATTTTGGGAAAACTTGAGAGCTTTTTCCACTTCTTCTTCTTCTATCTCTTGGGAAGACTTGCGAGTTTTTTCCACCCTTCGTCTCGGCTTCTAACCTCTTTCGTCTCTCCGCAAGTGTCCACTCCATTGTATCATTCTTCTCAATCCAAGAAAAGCAACTTTAGGAGTTTCAATGTTTGTAAGTGTCTTGTAAGCGTCTATTATATTATATAAGTTTGTTTTTGTCTAGTCAAAATTTGTAAGCGTCTTTATATTATAAAAAGTATCTTTTTTTTGGATCTATTTGAGTCTTTATTTTATCTAGGAAGAGTCTTTCATTGCTTGCAAAAATTTGGGTCACTCCCCAAATTTTTACGTGCATCAGAGGCAGACTTTGATTAATTGATGGTATGTAATCTTTTAAGTTTTAAATGATAAGTGACAATATAATAATTCATTAAGTATTAAGTAGATTTGGAACCATAGAATTAGTTACATCCAAGTCTCTTTAATACAATTCTTATCAAACTAATAATGTCTAATATTTCTAGTAATGTTTTAGAATTACATGTTAATTTTAGTAAATTTTATGTCCCTGTCTAATCATAACTTGATAGCTTAGCTCAGTGGAAAACCCATGTTACTGGTTAACTCTTAGAACTTAGGTTGACTCTTGAGTTCGTACTTATCCAATTCACCCTTATGTGCTGCAACAATAGTTTTAAGGAAAATTTAAATCAAATCTCATGGTGTTGCATTGAGGAATACAATCTATTAGAATTTTGTTTGAAGTTAATTTTTATTATTTATATCTATGTCAACCTATGGGCACTGAAAATACATATATATATATATATAGAATATTGATTTACTGTCTCCATTTGTTTGTCTTTCTGTTTTCTCTATTTTTTTCTTTTTACTTTCATCCATGCACAGATTATCTCTCTCATGTAAAAAAAAATAAAAAATATTATCTCTCTCATGTTTTCTTGTTTATTTGTTTATCTATATTTGCTTGTATAGTTGTATATATTCATCCATTTGTTTCTTTAGATATATGAAATCTCATAAGCACAATATCTCTCTTTATATATGTCTAGATTTTATTACTAGATCTCTATCATAACTTATTTTTTATATTTATCTTTCTATTTCTCTACCCATCTACTTTGATTGGCCCATCTATCTATTTAACTATATGTATTTAGCTTATTGGTCTACCTATATCTTTAAGCTCGTGCAGTCTTATGCGTTTTTGAAGGCTTTACTTACAAATGCTCTCTTTTATCCATTTTATGTTTGTTCTATCTTATTTGTTTGTGATGTTTAGAGCAAACACGTGTTATCTTTTTTCAATTGGTTTGTAAATGTTTGTGTACTCTTAGGAGAGTGTGCATAAACAGTACACTAATGAAGCAATGCATCCAAAACAACCATTGAGCAACCCTGGGTTATGTCAAGTTATTAAGGAGAGAAGAGAGAAAAAGAGCAAAAAGGCAGATATTTAGAGTGGCTAAGAGAATAGAAAGTAATGTATGGGGTTATAAATTCCCGTGAGGATGGAGGGAAGAGAGATATTTCAACCAATGTTTCAATATTTAATAATCAAGTATTTCTCTTTTACCGTCAAGGAACCCTTTATATATTTATAAGGGCTCATGAAAAAGGCTAAAATATGACACACAAATAGAGGTTCAAATATGTCCAAAGGCCTGCATAATGTGACAAAACATCTAAAAGACATGACATAAGATTCAGTAAGTAAATAAGATGAAGTTGATCATTCTAATGATGGTTGTCCTATATTTTAAATCAACTAACTCCCAACTCAACTCATTGAGGAAAGTTAAACAGTGGCATATTCCTGGACAGAAACTGCTGTGGCAAAACATGTTTATGTTTATCTCTTTGAACTCCAAGTAGGGGTTCAATGGTCTGGAGAGTGTTGGAGACTTGTATATTAATAGGTGATTGAAGAATCTATTGGTGATGATTGTAGTTGAATAAGATTATTAATTACCTAAAGGTTGGAGGTTGCAAGTTTGACTCGGTGGTCACCAACTATATTAGGGGAACAAGACCTACAGGATTTGTAGTTGGAGGATGCTCATGATTTTGACAGACTTATGATAAGCTTTATGCAAAGTTTGATGATCGTTCAGTTTTAATATTCTCATGATATTTGTCCTAAATCCATCTATGAATCTAGAAAAAGAATCTAGGATTTGTAGTTGGAATTATGATGGTTTAGTCTGAAGAGTAGGGTGGACAGTCAATCAAAAATTTTTGTAGAAACTGATTATCTTATGTGAGATTTCTAACCTGATCAATTAGTCCTGTCTAATAATATGATGGAAAGAATTAGCATGTATTTCATGTCATCCCAATCAATGACATGATGTTAATGTAAGTGTTCAACATCACTTATTTTTTTCCCAAAAATGTTTTGGCATGTCCTTTCAACCTAATATAGCAATCCTGACTTCACAAAATTTATGTTGAATTATTATAGCAGGCTTTTAAATCAAGTAACT